CATTCATTAGTTTGTTCATGCAAAGGAGTTTATAGAGCGTCTCATATTTTCCCGTCCGAAACACGGGCGCACTCTTCTCATCGCCCCGCCTTAAAATATTCTAAGACGCTGGAGGTCGCTGGGCAGGTATGTCTGAATAACTGGTCCAGAAGGACAGCATTACAACCAACCTCTAGTTTTACCCTAAAAACCACCCCAGTCCAGCCCAATAAAATCTCGTATACCTGAGTCCATATTTGGGATAGGAAACTCAGTAAAAATGAGAATAAAAATAAAATTCAGAGAGGCATAATTTGAACTTTAAACACAAAAATGAATCAACTTAAAAGTCAAAACACTAGCTATTGATAACAAGGTTTCTAATGTAAATACACCAGTGTGAAATTTATTTTAAATTACCTGAAGTTATAAAATAAAGTCACCTTTGATTTATAAACAAAATATACTGTCTAACAATGCAAGTATTCACTAATACTAAGAATCAGTAAGTTATTTTTTTTAAACTGATTTCGGTCTACAACTCAATAGTGGCCTCATATTTTAACTACCAACTCTTTAGTTGCTTTTGAGACAGGTAAATAAATTTTGTTTGGTAAGCAAAACATTCCTCTAACAAAATTAATTGAATCAAGTAGAAGGATTGCCTAATCTATATTCAAGTTCCATTATGGTCAGTGAACAGTATATACCAACAGATTATCTTAAGGAAGATATGTATAATACCAGGCTTGCTACCCCTGCTCATTAACACCCCTGGACTGTTTTTCTTAAAAAGTGTTTAAAAACAACTTAATTTTTAAGAAATTGGCCTATAATAATATTTTTAGCATATGTTTTAAGAGCAAATGACCTGTTCACAGGTAACTTACTAATGAGCTCTACAAATGACTGCTGCCGCCCTTTCTTCCTCTGTTCTCCCTATGTCTACAGCCATTACTTTTGCTCTCACAACTACTGTATCCCTTCCCTACCGAAGCCTCTGGCACTCCCATCGGCAATGGGACCTAAAATGAACATGACACCCAGGGTCAACCTCATGGGTGAGCAACCTGTGCAGCTGCACAGGGCCACACTCAGAAGGGTCCCCTGCTTGGTTAATGATCTGCTGTCACCAACTTAAAACTCTTAAAAATTGTTTTCAACAAAGGGCTATATATTTGCAGTGAGCCCCAGAAATTACCCACTTCTGATGTTAACTTCCGTCTACCCAAATACACTGGTGCTAGCAGAGAGAAAATAAAAATACAAGAAATATCTTTCCAAAGAATAAGTAGTGACCTACAGATAAAGGAAGTAGATCTGACTGACCAAGCAAATACATTATTCTGGAATGTGAAACAAGTAGGGGCAAACTGAACGGGGACTGATCCTGTGGGATGAGAGGGAAAAGAAAGAAGTGGGAATATAACCAACACTAATTTAAAACATCACTTATATGGTAAAGTGCATTCCAATTTAATATCAGATAATTACAAAATAACTTTGTGAATTATAAACTACTCATAAAAGCAATTTGATTATGCATTCCAATTAAGGAAAACCAGATAACTACAAATGTAACAAAGACGGGATGGGNACTGACCTTGAGTATTTTTTTAAATTATATTAAACAATAAGTTCTATGCAGTCCACTAAAAAAATTACTATACAGAATAGGTGACCAAACCTTAAAAATTCAAAATTTAAATTTCCTTTAACCTACTTATACACAAAAATTACACTGTAATGGGATATAAAGCTAGAAATACATGTGCTTTATTAGAAGCACGTATAAGATTACTTATCTGGCAACCTCAAGTATACAGAACACAACTAAAATCGCAAAAGCCTTTTAAATAACCAAAAAAGATCTCAGTCCATACTCAAAAGCTCACTCCTGTCACTGTTAAGAGAGACTTTTTCTCTTACTAGAGAATGTCTCTTACTATAATACAGATATGGATGCCACTTTTGGTCATCTAATTTTCTAGTCCAAAGTTAAATTAGATGAGAGGAAGCAGAACTGCAGACAACAGCCATGAGAGAGTGCAACAACTAAAATATTAATCTAACTATGAGGGAGAAGAAACAAACAAAGTACAAAAATGATTTTTTTATGGAATGCTGATTACCTGCAAGAAATCTTGAAAAACATTTCATTCATTTGACAAATACTTATTTATACCCATGTTGTGACTTATTGATCTAGATGCTTAGGAAAATAGCACGTAATAAGACAGTCTGCAGGTTATACGGTAACAAAGCATTTAAAAAAAGTAATTACTCAAAGATAAATTATATATTTTAAACAATGTTGTAAATGTTCTAAATTTCATCTAAAATTCATCTCTTTGATGAAAAGTAACTATATTTCATTTTCTAGCAAATGTTAGAAAATAAAACAATCTTTCCCTCAAGGGAAGTATATTTTGATAACAAATGTGAAACTAAATGCTTTTTGACAGAAATGTGTTACATAGAAAATATTTTGAAAAAAATGTTGCCCAAAATAAATAAATTAACTTATTAGTAAAATTAATTAACACACATCAGCACTCTTCAAATAGTTGGAGAACCAATATTTATCTGCTTTTAAATCTATCAAAGAATTTTAGTAGGTTTTGAATCTGTTACAAACTTTTAAAAATAAACTTTCAAATTCGTTTGTAGGAACAACTACTTGACATTAGGAAAGATGGCAATTACCGCCTGATTTCAAGAAAAACCTTTGAACTACCTACCTCCTGGAAATGCCATTAGCCAGACATTTATGGCTACAGGACTTGGAAGAGAGGGGTGATGAAGTTGGGGACAAGTTGAGAGGGGCAATCAAACTGTTGATGATCTCAGTCAACTGTGCACTCTGCAAGAAAACAGTCAACCTTTTACTACTCCTAAGCAAGAAATGTGAGGCCTTCAGTGTCTACTAAATGCTTAACTTCTTATGAAATATGTAAAGATGTTTCAGTAAATATTTTAATATACAAAAATTATTTACACAACTACTGATTTTTCCATTTATTATATGTACACTTAAAGTGCTCCTTTTCTACATCTTTTTTGTTATAGTCCCTTTCTCCATTCATCATACCCTCTTCTAAAACTTTTGAACTCAGCTAAAAGCATCTACATTAATATTTCCTTTGAGGCAGCCAAATAAATAACAACAAAATCATAAGTACAATCTATTAAGTGTGTATTATGTGCAGTCACTACACCAGGCACTAGAATATTTCTAATCTTTACAACTAACCTGTAAAATAGAATATTAGAACTACTGATATTACTATATATAAGATCAATTACAGATGAAGAAATTGAAGCAAAGAAAGATAATGCAGCTTGATTGAGGATTATCAAGTTAGTAAGAAATGGAGCTAGAATTGAAATTCAGGCTTCAATCCCATGCCACACTGTCTCTCAATATTTTCCTAATTCAAAAATATCAGCTTTTTTAGGTACCAAAATTTTCATTGTCCCGTATGCCAAATTTAAACATATGTAATATATTTGTAATGTGTAATAAATATTATTCTCAAAACAACTACCTACAACAATTAAAATAAACATAGGCCACATCAATGGAAATAGTACATTTCTACACAAGAATGACAACTATTTTCATTACATATGTAATCTGCATTCATTATAGAAAAAAGGGNGTTGGAGAACCAATATTTATCTGCTTTTAAATCTATCAAAGAATTTTAGTAGGTTTTGAATCTGTTACAAACTTTTAAAAATAAACTTTCAAATTCGTTTGTAGGAACAACTACTTGACATTAGGAAAGATGGCAATTACCGCCTGATTTCAAGAAAAACCTTTGAACTACCTACCTCCTGGAAATGCCATTAGCCAGACATTTATGGCTACAGGACTTGGAAGAGAGGGGTGATGAAGTTGGGGACAAGTTGAGAGGGGCAATCAAACTGTTGATGATCTCAGTCAACTGTGCACTCTGCAAGAAAACAGTCAACCTTTTACTACTCCTAAGCAAGAAATGTGAGGCCTTCAGTGTCTACTAAATGCTTAACTTCTTATGAAATATGTAAAGATGTTTTAGTAAATATTTTAATATACAAAAATTATTTACACAACTACTGATTTTTCCATTTATTATATGTACACTTAAAGTGCTCCTTTTCTACATCTTTTTTGTTATAGTCCCTTTCTCCATTCATCATACCCTCTTCTAAAACTTTTGAACTCAGCTAAAAGCATCTACATTAATATTTCCTTTGAGGCGGCCAAATAAATAACAACAAAATCATAAGTACAATCTATTAAGTGTGTATTATGTGCAGTCACTACACCAGGCACTAGAATATTTCTAATCTTTACAACTAACCTGTAAAATAGAATATTAGAACTACTGATATTACTATATATAAGATCAATTACAGATGAAGAAATTGAAGCAAAGAAAGATAATGCAGCTTGATTGAGGATTATCAAGTTAGTAAGAAATGGAGCTAGAATTGAAATTCAGGCTTCAATCCCATGCCACACTGTCTCTCAATATTTTCCTAATTCAAAAATATCAGCTTTTTTAGGTACCAAAATTTTCATTGTCCCGTATGCCAAATTTAAACATATGTAATATATTTGTAATGTGTAATAAATATTATTCTCAAAACAACTACCTACAACAATTAAAATAAACATAGGCCACATCAATGGAAATAGTACATTTCTACACAAGAATGACAACTATTTTCATTACATATGTAATCTGCATTCATTATAGAAAAAAGGGAAAGTATAGAGAGATTTAAAAAGGAAAAGAAAATCACCTGTAATAATATTTCACCATTGTTAATATCTTGGTATATATCCATCTCTCCAGACTGTTTTTTTGTGAGCATGAATATGTATGTATATAACATGTGCACACACACATCCTTTTAATTAAATCATGCCACATTAATTTTCTAAAACCTGGTTTTCTCACTTAATATAGTGTGACAACATTTAAAAAATATGAAGGCTTATTTCACCATTTTTACTAACTGCAAGATATTCTATTAAAAATAGAGGGTTATATGAAATTATTATTTTGAAACTCATTTGTATGAAACTAATAACGTTATTAAAATAATGAGAGTAAAGAATATGGTAGAACTAAATCTAATATTTTAATTCTTCAAAA